AGCCGACGATGCCTTGTACGGTTTGGTTGCGAGGACTTCGCTCGGGTAGGTAGGTAGGTCCTATGCTATTTTATCGACGTTATCTAGGGTAAGTGCCTGATTTCGGCAAGACGTTTTACCCAATAAGTATCAACTCCAAGTCTTAAGCTTCGTTTGACACCCCACTCTTGAAAATCCGTTCATCTGTCTAGGAGGAGTTTCCTGGAATGACAAACAGATTAGTCTCTTATATGTGTATGGTTATGGATGAATTTTAACATTTGACTTTTTAAAGTGAATTTTCCATTAAGGTGATCTGGTTGACTTGTAAGATAGCCATGCCTTACAGACTCTTATGTGTAGTATGATAGCTGCGTGCGTCTATCTGGTCTCCCGGTCAGACTATCCAATACAGGATCAACTAAGGCTACTGTGACACCTATACTTGCAAAGACCTTACTTGAAGAGCCACTACAGAGTAGGATCATCTTACCTATCTCTGTACTATCCTTATCTTCAACTTCAAATTAAACTATGTGGTCCAGTGGGCTAAATGCCGAAGCGCCACGGAAAAATTAAAACCAGGAATAGTGCCAGTGAACTCCCAATCAGTGCTTCCTTCTCCACCCCTCAACTTAACCCTACCCCGAATCAACGAATATATGAAAACTTGGACGATGTCTTGAGTGATATCGCCGCAGAACTTCCGCGTGATTTACACTCTTAATAGCTAGCTGAAGCGAGGGGACTCGAAGATAAGCAACCAGGCTCTTACTACCTGCCTTCCAATAGCGCTCCAGGCTTTAGCACAGATACGGCTGGATTGTGTAATTCCCTCTAGGCTACAGCTATGTCTTCTCTCGACTTTTTACGGAAGGATTCCGTCGCCTAAGGCTGTCTTCAAACAAGGATTTGCACTCTAGTTTTGACACTAAAAGCGGAGATGGCCCCTGCCAGAGCTGACATAAATTCCTTACGATGCACCCAAGAGGCTCAAGAAACCTCCTTGAACTTTTATCAAGCTAATTGCCAAGACATGCGAGAATCCCTGGTTCTTGAAACTAAAAACTCCCTCCGGCGCAACGAAGGACTTGAATGTCGTCCTCTCCAGTCTGAAGCCCATAGTAGGAGGCGGAACATTATCTATGGTCTTTCTGAAGGTTTGGATGAGGTTACGGTGAATGTAGCGCGACAGTTCTTCGTAGAAACCATGAAAATACCAGCACCAGCTGTGGTGCATCACCTCGTGCATCAAGACAAGGAGACCGAAAACCAAACGATCCCCACCGAGCTCACCGCCCCTTAACTGTCTCCTTTTTGTGCTTGGAAGATACATCAACTGTCCTCTCCCAACTTCGGAACTTGATGGGCACTACGGTAACCCTGAAAGAAGATGTTCCTCCGCCCACAGAGGATTCAGCTTACCTTTATTGTAATTCATTCATCAAACTACGGCTCGTGGCACTATTACTAACTTCGCCAAATTTACCCACCAGATGAGGATTTTTCTCTACCCCAATGTTCCATGTTATGACATATGAAAGGTTCTCCCACTACTAAGCACAAATGTACTAAAAATCGATTCATCGCAGAAAGGTGTGCGGTTTGAGGTTATCATTTGGTTGCAACTTCTGTCAAATCTGGCACCTGTACGGCTCCTATTGTACCTGCGTAAGGCAGTTGTGGCAACAACCGGAAGGGGCATTGTATTAGATAAATTCAGAGCTCGCACGAAGCAATGATTACCTCGAGCCGTTGACGAACGCAGTATTGTACACGTTCAACCTCATCGTCGCTCAGACCAGTTTCTATGAAACGATTAAATCAGATATAGATGATTTGCTTGGTGGAGATTTCAAAAGTTATTTACTATAGGTAATGATTGGGATTTGATCATTAAAATTGTTCTAAAATAAATGAAAGAGGCGTAAGACATAACCCATCAGTCATGTGTACAGTTTCCAGGTCTTCACATCTACCTGGGAATGATTCAGAGAAATCCAGGAATTTTTTCGCCCATTCCTGACCTATAATTGCGCTGCCTTAGCATGACGCGCGCGACTTACAGGCCTATGCCTCTCCAGGCCATAGGCTGTGCGGAAGAACTTGAGAAGAATCAAATTAGTACGCAAGTGATGGGTTTCAAAGAGATCCACATGGGATAGCTTTGGTCTTGCTGAAGAAGTTGCAGTAGGTCTAGACATATGATACGTAAGCGGGGATTAGACCGTCTGCACTATCATCATTGATCGAGGTTGAGATTGAAGTTGCATAATGTTGCTCTCCAAGTAGTAGGGAAATACTTTATCACTTTTAGTGCCAAGCGGCGGATCCTCGACGTACTAGATGAAGTAACGTGAAAACGAATTATTCAATTACTTTACCTATCTTCACACCCCCAACCCCGGGGCATCTCTATGGGATTCACTAACGTTAAGCCTAGGCCTAACTGACAGACCACCTTCAGGTCACGCCAAGGCCTACCTTTTTTTTTTTCAAAAGAAACTCAATTCTCGACTTGGGCGTCAATTAGGCCCATAAGGGTGAATGGTGATCTTCGAGACATCTGGTTAAGGACGTGTAACGTTAGACCGATTGGAGGTCTGTTTCGCGTTTCATGAACCATTTCAATGGGACGTGGAACGTTAAGCCTATCTGGAGTTCATCGAACCATCTCGAATAGGGCTGAGGAGAGGATGCCATCAAGAAGCATGCAATCCATGATACGCGCCATCCTGTTAATTCATGGATGTCCGGACAAGACTTGTGCATATCCCTCCACATCGATCAAGAACTGCTAACCACCGCTTCATTCTCAGCTCAGCACATAAATGTCCCATAAATAAGTAAGAAAAAAAAAACTATCCAGATGCCAATAAGGACAAGACAGTCTTGAATCTGACATTATTTCGGCACGGTTCCGGCAACACTGGGAGACGGTACCGGAGCTATCACTCTAATTGAACGACAGCTGATTTAATCTTTTATGGCGGAATGGAGCATCGCAAAGAACATAAAAGCCAATTTTCGTCATCAACGGGTCAATATCTTTATGGTTTGTCTCTTTCCTCCGGAACCCCCCCAGGAGTGGCTAACCCAGAGGGGGAGGGGAAAAATAAAACAATGAAATTCACATCCTCCATCCTGCATATCGTGGCATCTGCTCTTTCATCAATCCTTGGGTATTTAATTTTCAACCTCATCACATGATTCACGCCGTCGTCCCATACAGCAGGAGAAACTTCTTCACGGACGATTTGAATAAGGGACATAACCTCACGGCTCAGAGATGCTCACTTTTGCTAGATGTCTGCCTGCAAAGTAGCGTTTAACCTGCGGTTTCACGGGGGGGATGATATAGAGGAAGACCGGACGTTGAGGTTTTTGAGCAGTCGAGTAGAGCAGACAGGCAAGTTAGGTGCAGCCTACCCAGAGATCCGAAACGCACTCCCCGCGGAAACACTCATTTCACGTCTCTTCGACAAATTTACCGGCCTACCCAATCCTCTTTCTTTCACACTTTCTCATTTTAGCCGTAATCCTCCCCCAGCCCCTTTCCTAAGCCTTGCTGCCCAGATATTTTCATTTTACAAAACGTGCTTTGTATGAGCTGGCTAAGCACCAAATTTCAGTAGTCCCACCGATGACACTATGAGTCCATAAACAAAACGAGCGCTTCGGCCAGGAGAGGGTTTAACTCTTGATTCTTTCCGAGTACTTAATACTGTTGCGTTTATGCAAGTTAAATCGGGAAATCTCCCGACGGCTGATTGCCGCACTTACACTTTTATCAGAAAAAGATTTGGCAGGTGGGTAATGGAACACGATTGCAGTTTGATGGATGTATGGGCCTGGTTTATTACTGACTACGGGTGACTATAGGTTTTATGAGATTCAGGGACTGCCCGAAAGGTTTAGATCTTCGTCCAATGTTGGGAACTCCAAACGGCGTGTTTCTGTCCTCCAATTAATCGCACCTCCGAGTCTCGGATAAACCGGAGTCCTGTCCTCGTCCAGTTGCTGCCACGAAATTTCAGGTAGAGTCGAGCTCTACTCGAATGGGTGCCAACCTCAAGTGAGGAGTCGATTAACCGTGGAAATTCTAACGTCTGCAGACACCTACGTCCAGAGGCCTTCCTATCCGCGAGGAAAGGGATTACCGGTGCTACAATCCGGCAGCACTTCCGCTCGAGGTTTGGATCGAACCGAGCCGACCAGTCGATTAACAAATTCTGGAGGCACCAAGGTCCTGGAAGGAGCCGTTCGGAACTGTGGATCCTACACCGTCGTAATACGTCCTGGCTCGAGGTTCGAGTGGAGGTCAAACCGAGCAGGCGGTACGTACGCTGATGTCAACGGAGCTCGAGGTTCGTGACCCGCGGACGGGTTGGCAGCCGTTTACTCGCAAATGGAGCAGCGCCTTCTGAGCCGTTCCGCTTCCTTTATGGTTGAACCACGGATGGAATCGGGTCAACCGGGCTCTGGAGGAGTCGTCCAGCCGCAGACTCTTGGCAGGCTCAAAAGAGAGAGAGAGCTCCTAGCTCGAGCTGCCCGAGTCGTGCAAGCGACCGACTGCCACTCCTCGAACTGAAGACCGGGGGTTTCAATACCAGGGAGGAGACAATAAAGTTGGTTATTTGTGACCTTTGCAAAGAATTTGTCAACAAGAAAAGCGGAGGGGGGGTTCGACATGCCGAACATACGTGCTGGCTACGTAATCATGCGAGAGTTGGCGCCCACGTATCCACATTTCATGTTTGCTACAATACCAAGGTTCAATTTTCATTACAAAAAAGGATAAGCCAACCGTAAACAATACACATTTCAATAGCCTCCATTGAAGCGATGAATCCACCCAACGAACGAAACGGCGGCGTCCACGATCTTGTGGACATACTAAGTTACTAGTTACTTTTCCGTAAAGTAAACTAAGGTTTCCGAGTCATCGCGTTGTATTGGCTCACGTCTTGATCCCGAAGTGACAGTTTTGTGCAGCGAGAGGGTAGGCGCTGTGGAACATTCCGGGATTTATTCCAGTGTACTCTAAGCTGAAACAAAATCACATTTCCAAGTGTCGTGCTTGGATTATCTCCCCTCCACCGAGGGATTAAATACATGACGGCGTGTTGCAAGAACAAATGTTACATGAAGGACTTTCGGCATCCGGCGAAAAGAAAATCTTGGTCAAAGAAAAAGAGTGAAGACTTAATTCCAAGATACAAAGAAGCAAACCCATGCATCGAAATGATCATCCTCCCACGAGCAACCGATTCGTTGAGAAAATGCACGATACTTGTTTCTACGAACATGAAAGTTTTAATTCGTGGGAACACGGAGTCCGCCGGCACGACGTCTCGAAATCGAGTGTGTGACGTATGATGTCGCAATGACGAGCGCCGACGGGGAAATTTCCTGGAGGCTGCCTCACTTCACGAAGATCTTTCGCTCCTGAGCAGGTTCAGGCCGACTTGAATCCCGCCTCGGATCCCATTGTTCAAAAGGGGTTCCAGGTAATCGTAAAACGACCATCCCAGAAACAGATTCATTCCCCTCACCACCTGCAACCGCGAAGAGAAAGGAATTCGCAGCTCCTGCGTCCGAAACGGCCGCGACGAACGGCAAAGGAACTGACCGTGGTGAGGAGAGAGTTGGACTTCCGGTTTTCACCCAACCGCATCTTCACGTCTCGAATGTTCTTGATGTCGAACTGTCCGATGGAGAAACTCTTGGAAGTCGGGTTCCCTCGGATCTGAGAGATAGATACACCGTGACCATACCCAAGGAATTTCCAGAGGCATCCCACTTTCTTAGGTGAATCGCCTATTTACATTAATACGGAACGACCGCCTTCGTTTCCAATGCACCAAGCGGATCTATCCCTCATACTCCTTTCGCGCCGTGAGAACGCGTCGGCTCTGTACTTCTTTGTAAATGTGAGTCATCCCCCCTCCTCCGTGGTCCTACGTCAGCGCGAATGACCGCGATTCTCCTAACTCCAAAACGCGGAAATAAGACCTAAGATATCGGAGTCGAAGAACGATTGCGGAGTCCGAGGAGATGCGGCGTTATCGTTCCTTCAATAACTCTCCGTTTCTGTCCCTATTCCCGCTCTAAACCACGATCCTCTCCCTACTTGTGGAACGCCAGCCCGTTCACAGAAGGGGATGATGCAGAGCCTCGTTGGCATCCCCTTCTCGTGCATCACGAAACTGCGAATTCGGGTCTCGCGTGTCGCTCGACGAGGGTTCGGATGAACCGAGTCCCATGATCGGACCTAATCGTGCATCACACTTCGAATTGGAAGATGGACATGGCCGAGAAGTAATGTGAAAACCATTTTTCATAGATTTTCTCTTTCCTCAAACCCCCCATCGGCACAGTGATGCCAAAGTTCGAAATGACAGAATAAATCTGGGAACGGAATCCCGTTGCGTAGATATTCGATCGTTTCACAGGCATTTGGAAAATGCCAAGTCCAAATTAAGACAACGCCTCTATGTACTCGAATGCGGAGGAATAGAATGAATGTTATTCAAGAAAAGAAGTCCAGCAAGTTAGGAAACCATTCGCCTAGTGACGAATCTTCGCGTAAACCCAGGAGCGGAAAATCACGCCCAGGGAAATTTCCATATACCAAAAAATCCCCCTCCCCAAAAAAGAAAAAACGTGGAGCAAATCCTACGCGAGACGAAATCTTAGATCCACATCCGTGGGCATCCATCAGCTTTTCCTTTCGAGCCTTTATATTCCAAGTAGCTAAACCTCGACGCTCGTACGACCTCTAATGGACGCGATGTGAAGCCGAAAAAGGGAACACTCCAGTCCCGCTGCGTAAAAGCAGTAGGACCTTGAAAAAATTGCAGAGATCTCCAACACAGCTGCACTCGATCAAAGTGGTGCATGGCTTCTTTTCCTTCGGTCCCCTGTTCTCGAGTGTTCGTCATTCTTCGTGCCGTCATCGCTACAGAATACCATTATAACTCATCGACGATATTTTCTCCAGGTATAAATTTGGCTCGTGACAGACCGCGGAAATTTCCACTCCGAGACGAAGGGGAAGATCACGTCATCCGAGGAGAACGCCCGAATCAAATTCACATCCATAAAACAAATACCCGTCGAGAGTCCCAGACAAGTGGATGAAGTTCACCTCGAGATCCATTTGGATTCCTTCGAACTCGGCGGAGAACTTCCTCTCGATGCTGAAGAGAAGGAACCGCAAGGCGGCCGTATAGTTGAGAAGGAGCCGATCCGCCTCCATGGATGCCTCCACGACGTAATCGTCTCCGTCTCGCCGCAAGATCGCGTTTCCCTGGAATCGCAAGCGAAAGGTCGCGCGTGACGCGACGGGTGCAAGCGCTTCGCGTACGATTTCGCCCTCGAAACGTTTACCGTTCTGCGTGCGGTTTCCAATCCCTCCAAGGTGCCGTCGTCCAAGAAGAACGTCTTTCCGAGGGGAAGGGCGAATCCGATCGGCGGTATTTCCAAGTCGCTGCAACGCAGAAGGGAGTATAAAGCGGTGCAACGAATCCAGCGTAGAAAGGAGTCCCGCGTCGAAGGGAATCCCTTTTTCTCTCGCCTCGGACTGCGACTTATTTAACTACGAGAAATGCGTCGTCTGGATATGCAAAGGAACCCATGGAATCCGATGTTTGAAAGAAATTCTTTTTCTCTCTCTCTCTGCTTTTGTCTTTATACCCGGAAGAACCCCGTTCCAACTTGAAAAAGCATAGATTAAAGTGACGTGGAGACGAATTTCGAAGAAACGACGGCGCATTTCACGCAATGAATTTCTGCCTCGAAGACGAAGCCCGAGACACCAAGACCCAAACGCACTGTTTCAGGAGTGGCACCTCGTAGGTGCGAAGAGGAACCACGTCACCGATTTCCTTCAACGCCAACTTGGTCAAGTTCCAGGTGGAATCGATGAGTCGGTTCGGATCGTTCACCCCCACGAATGGGCTCTCTCCGTTCGTCGTCAGCTCACCGCCTTCATTCTGCAAAAAACGCTCTCTTTTACTCTCGGTCGACCGTCCGAGTCATTCCACTCGTGCAATTGTACGGTCTGAATATTTAGGCCGCCATTCGAAAAGATTTCTGGCACACGGCTGGTCGGGAACAAACACTTTCCGGGGCCTGCTTCCTGGAATTTACAAATTACAAGTAATTACGAGGGTCGTTTCGTGGCCGTGCGAAGGGCCAGCAGGACCGATCCGAAGAGTTAGACTAGGAGACACGACCCTTGCAACTACTTGTAGAACTGGTAAATTGCACGAAACAGGCCCCAGGCAGTGAGGACTACCCTACACAAGCTGAGCGCTGCGCATGCGCCTTCAGGTCGAGATCGCGGAGGACTCGCGGTTCTACCTGGCTCTCTATCAAGTTTCAGATTTAAGATGTGGGTAAAAGTTTTGTTTTCGGCTCGACTTCCTCCAAAGGCAGAGAGCCTGTATCTTGTTCTCATCCAACTGCAAACCAATTTTTATGATGATCAGTCCAATATATATTTTTTGGTTTTCGTCGGACAAACGAAGTGTGAGGCAGAGGACAGGAGGCCCACTAAAAACACTTCAGCCTGCCTACCTACCTACCTGGTGACCTTTGAGACCTGGTACCAAAAGACGAGATCGTCTTCTAATAGATAGGTGAATCGCCCGTTGCATATACCCTCGTACATCGATTTCGATGCGTACGTCTTCATTTAGAAGCCACGAACAGTCATGATGCCGCTCCTGATTTAAATAATCGAATATCGAAATTAGTTTGGAACTTGCGAAAACTAACGCGTTAGAGTTTGAGACCATTCGACACCGGACATCGCATCCGAAACGAACGAGCGAATAAAAAATGTGGATCCTAAAGAGAAAAATCCAGGCACGGCGACGCGTGGAGACGGTGTCCTTGTTCCCCATCGCGGGCACGATGGATGGGAGACGAAACCGGCAGGAATTCCGAGCCGGAAGACGCCGCCGACTCGCTCTCGACCTTCTGGAAGGCACGCACCGTGCTCGCCCTTCTTTCTTCCTCGTCGCCGCGAAAGTAGGATACGAAGGAGGTCTGTCGGGTCGAGAGAGAAATCGGATGGCCGCGGAGAAGCGGCGCTGCGATCGGAGCTCCTGGCCCGGCACGGCTGGCCTCACCTGGATCTCACCTGGATCCGCCTCGGAGGAGTCCAAATTCATCGAGAGTGTTTTTGTTTCTCTTCCGTCGAGATTTCTTACTTTACGTACTCGTGCGATCGGTCGCGAAAATATAAATTGAGAATGTTTTGTTACTGCTTGTGGCGCAAAAAAAAATTGAAAGTCCGAAAAGGCTTCGCAGAAATTTAGGGGATGGATGAAAAAGTAATGGAGAGAGGACAGACTTGCCTTCCTCTGCCGACCGAATGCAGCCGTCATTTCTCGGCCATATACTTGGAGATCATTTGTAACAGCAAATCCCCACTGAAACGATGCTCTTGGCATAGCAAAGACCATTGGGCAGCACAAGTACGCAATAATAACGAGTGAGGCGCATGAGCACGCGACGACAGCGTTCGGCTTCGCCCGCGCAAAATGGACACGCAACGCCCTAAAAACAATAGCCCTCTCTGCCTGGTCCAACGAAGAGGTCCCTTTTTTTTTGCGCCACCCGATATAGCTCATTGACTTGCCCATTAACCTTTTTAAAGTGCAAATAAAGATCGGCATACATAAAGTTCCCAGGCATGTTCTATTCCTGAAAATGCACTCGATGAACCATCATCGGTCCGAACAAACGAAACTCCGAGGGTTGAATGTCTAGACTGGCCAGGCGATTGCACGGCGCATCGACCGCTTTCGGCGGACTCTAACCTTCAATGCCGTATGAGGGAGAGAGCATGACAATGCTCTCTCCTGTCAGGCATACATCAATTTCCCTTATTGAGGGTCGCTTTCTTTTTTCTGTTCCTCCTTCAGTTTGTGTTGTGTCTGGCGATATCTGTCAGCATTCATCTTTGTGTTTGGGAAAAAAAAAATCCATTAGCATTCTTATCCCAAAAATTACTGTAAACATGACCTTTTACGAAGGACGCTTTACATTTGAACTTCCTAATTGTTCGTTCCGGATGGTAGCAGTGCACGGGGAATGTTTTCAGGAATAGAACAAGCCTTACTGCTTATGTATACCAATTTTTAATTAATACAGTAATGATGGATGTAAAGAAGTTGTGCAAGCCCAACCCAGTAGTGGGCCTCCTTCCGGTTAAGGAAACCCTAATTTAAAAAAAAGCCATCTCTTTCCGGTCTTAGACCATCAAAAACCTCATTTCGAGTTGATAAACATGGACAAACGGTGCCCACGAAACGATGATGGAAGGCTGTGCGCGGTTGGGTCCATCGGCCGCGAAGGTTGGCAGGGAACTGACAGCTATAGTTGCTGACACGGCCCAATGCCTGGGTCGTATGCGCATGCGCATTCGAGTCCAGAACCTCAAGGGCGAACGGGTATTCATACCTTTCCCTCCGTGACCAAATTTCCAACCCAAAATTTGCATTATATATTCCATTTTTGGTGCAAATTCGTCACAAAACGAACACAGCCTGTATCTCGTTCGTACCTATCCGCTTGCCAATTTTCGCATCGATCGGGCCAATATTTTTTTAAGTTATGATAGGACGACCAAAATATGAGACACGAACGGATGGACAGGGCGGGACCATAAGGGGGACCTTTCCTGAAAGGAAAGGAGGCCCACTAAAAAAGGCGTACGTAACCTTATCGGGAACCCCTCGTAGATGCGAAGGAAATAGTATGCTTCCGCTTCTGTCTGCATCGGTCGGTCATCCATGGAACCTGGAGTGTAACGTTAGAAGCTTTTTCTCTTCAGGAAGCATCGGAGCCGTAATGCCGAGACCGTGTCGATCCCCGCCCTCGAGGTCGTTCAAGGAGTCAAGGACCACCATTTCCTCTCGAGGTTTCCGCTTTAACGCCTTCGCATCGGCCCAGCCTCTGGCCTAGCAAGGCATAGGCTCGTAGGCCCCGCGTCAGCGGCGAATCCAAGGTAGTATAATTCTAGGTCAGATAGGCCGAAGAGTTCTGTCCGAAAAAATTACCATCGTTCCATTACGGTAAGAGAATCTGGCTCGCGGCCAGTCGAGATGNATCTCGCTTGCCTCCTTACTTGGCTGTTACTGCAGCGACGTTAAATTTGCTATGGATTGATAGCCAATTTCACACCCTACAAAATGAGGTCTTTTGTTCAAGTCTCCGAACGAGGATAAAATCGTCACAGGATGCGAAAGTACAAAATACAAGGAGTGTGCGCGAAAACCACCCGTTTTACCATATGCTTCCGCTTCTGTCTGCATCGGTCGGTCATCCATGGAACCTGGAGTGTAACGTTAGAAGCTTTTCTCTTCAGGAAGCATCGGAGCCGTAATGCCGAGACCGTGTCGATCCCCGCCCTCAAGGTCGTTCAAGGAGTCAAGGACCACCATTTCCTCTCGAGGTTTCCGCTTTAACGCCTTCGCATCGGCCCAGCCTCTGGCCTAGCAAGGCATAGGCTCGTAGGCCCCGCGTCAGCGGCGAATCCAAGGGAGTATAATTCTAGGTCAGATAGGCCGAAAAGTTCTGTCCGAAAAAATTACCATCGTTCCATTACGGTAAGAGAATCTGGCTCGCGGCCAGTCGAGATGTCGATCCGGCAAAGCGAACGAATGAGAAACGAGATTCCTGTTCCCGAGCCCTTCATGGATAGATTCATCACTTTCTCCGAAGGTCTCGATCTTGTGAAAACGGGATTCGGATTGCTCGACGACAAAAACACGAATTTGCGATTCGAGTACATGCGCGACGTAGGAACTCCCCCCCCCCCCCGTGTATCCTCGATTAATTGTGGGGGAAGCGTCGGGAGGGGCAGGTCGTCGCCTCCTCGCATCCTACGACTCGTTTTACAAACGTCCGAAAAAGAACATGAAACAGCGCCAGAAAAAGTATGGGGGGAAACGGAAGGAATCACTCGGTTCGTTTTCTAGTTTTTGTATGACGATAGGACGAAACACGGATGTCGACTCACGACTCGGACCCGACCGCTCCGAGAAGATTGCGGCTTGGCGAACGCCGACCACACGAAGAAGAGGAAGGAAAGCGAAGAGATGCTCCACACCGCCATGATCGCGTCCGTCTGAATGCAGAACCTCGTCCCGTCTCGGGATGGGAACTGCCCGAGCGATACACGGAGGCATCCGCCGCAGGGATGATTTATTCCCGGGAATCGCTCGCGTTCCAGCATGAACCCCAGTGAATGTGCAAGCGACCTTGAACGGTAACACTCGCCCTTCGACGACCTCCATCTCTCCATCCCCATGGGCCCCCCGAAAGCTTCTTTTCTTTGTCTACTCGTTCCGTGCGTGATCCCGCCTCCCGCAATCTTCACTCTCCATAGGGATATGGAGATGACCATGAAAGGCAACTATCAGATACTTTGAAACCCTCTTTTCGCGAGGTGAAAAATTCGCGATTTCGGGGAGTCGGTCGCTTTGCCGAACCTAAATTCACGTTCGCGTTGTTCACTTCTTTCTATGGGATCTGCGCCTTCTACTTCGTACCGGTGTCGCCAAAGAAATAGGACTCTGGATTCCCGAATCCGCGACGATCACTCCAATGCATCATCGTACGTCTCCATCGAAACTCGATGCCTGGTTACGTTCGGCATTTCAGAAGCCGTCTTCAATGAATTCATTCTCCTTAGCAAGAGTAAAAGTGGGCGTGACGGGGCCCATGGAAACATACATGTCTTTCGTTCGCCGGACTCCAATTCACGTTTAATGAAAATACTGTAAAACTTATTTCGCGCTTCCAATTTTCCAGATTCGTCGTGCTTTCTTTGAAAAGCACGGTTTCTTGACCTTCAATTTAATACTTCAGTAAAACTCAGCTGCGGGTTGTTATGCAAGCATTTTCTTTCTTTAAAACGCAGAAATTCCGAAGAGCAAGCATATTAACTCTTTGCGTACCGCTCAATTTTTAATTCCTTTCGCTAGTCATTTTGCTAAGCCTATGGCCGAAAAAGTCATAGCCTGGAGGTCGATGCTTATAAGGCTAAGGCAACTGAGGCTTAGGCCAGAGCGGCGGATCGACGGGATAAAATGTCCGGTACGCAATGTGTTAAATAGGAACTCTTTGCTGCTCGGCATTAAATTGACGGACTTGGAAGTAACGTTTTGGGTGTGGCGGCGTAGTGAAGTTGGAAGCTCCCTTCTCCCCCTCCCCTCTCATTACCCCTCTTTAGCTGTAGCGTGACGACTCGCCGAAGAAAAGATGGGAGGTTACCTTATATCGACAGGTCAAAATGAAATACTAAAAACACTTCTTTCAAGAAGTACGTACTGCAACAGTCGGCCGTCATTGTGGAAGTTCCCCCCCCCCCCCCCCCATTATCATCATCATGATTCCCAACGAGACCCAAGCGGGTGGCATTCCGGTTCAAACTTCTCACTCGATTAGGCTCTTCCATTTGGTCGTGAACTGGTTCTAGCATTTTCTCCGGGTGACAGGGGTGCGAACCGATACGAGCAAGGAATGAGGATTGCTTCTCGGCCACCGTCGTCGTTTAGACACGGCCTCGAGTGGCCTTCACGCCGTTCGTGTACGGCACGGTAACGGTAGCGACGAAACGCCCAATGTGCAGTCCTCTAACTTTCCGTCGTTTCCTTTTCCGCGGCCGTACGATACCGTCCGAATCTCTTCTGCATTCGCCGAAATCGCCTCGATTCTCGCTGCTCCATCGGCTGACCGGCCGGCGTAGCGCCGATCGCATCCTGTTATATGGGGAAAATCATAATAGAACTCGGGGTTTTTCTGCGCGGGAAATCCCTCAAAATCCACGTCCTTTCGTTCGTCTCCGCTTCCGGTGTTACTTTTCTGCGATCCCGTCGACTCGCTTCTCGAGAAGAAAAAAATTCCCTCGGTTCCGCTTCACGACCTCGATGCTCAGTCGATGGACGAGATTTCCAAGGTCTCTCTCCGTCGAAATGTGCGGAATGTTCACGTAAGACACGACAAAAGAGAAGGGAATGCGCTACGTGACAAAACTGCAAGACGTGTTACGAATCGATGGTAACGTATCGCGATCGGACGGATGGAATCGCCGTTCCCTTCCGGGCAACTTTTCCCATCGGATACCTTTAAGATGAGGAAAACATTCAACTTGGATCTTCTC